AGGTGTCCTCTAAGGAACAGTAGATGGCCACCAAGCACATCACATCAGTGTAAGCGTGAGGCCCGTCATGCCGAGGAGATGTATGTAGTCCAGTGTCAGGTGGTCCACAACTGGGTTGCACTCCTTCGATGGAAGCTTACACCTTGGCACTTTGTTGGGTCTCCGTGGGTCGGATGTATTGCTGGTGGACAAAGCCGATTGAAGATCACACTCTTTCAATACTCATGCTCCTTATTTTTACATCATAGTGGAGGGGAAAGAAATCCATGTTAAATGTGATTGGTAGGAATTCAGCCATAAGGTTACAGTTCTCTAGAATAGAGACAGCATATGGATTGAAATTTTATTTCATCTTGTTTTTTTTTCCCTGCACCTGATTACATTCCTGAGCACTCACTGCAGACCAGACACAAAAAGCACCCCAAGGACACTGTCCCTTTAGTTCTCAGGATAACCAGAAGAAGCCAGGGACACCATTAACTGGGAACCATGAACCACAGGAACCTTCACAGAGCTAGCCCCACTTTGATGAGGTTGCAGGAAAGAGAGGAAGGGCTAAGTGGGTGGAATCAGGTCTGTTGAGTCAGAACCTGGCTCCTTAGTCATTATTCTTTAATTTAATAAACTAGTTTTGAACATTTTATTCATCATTATTTTTATGTGTATAGGTGTTTTGCCTGCATGTACATCAGTGCACCATCTCATGCAATGCCCACAGAGGCCAGAAGACTGTGTCGGATCCCTGGAACTGGAATTACAGAGGGTGATGAGCTGCCTGTGGGTGCTGGGAATAGAACCTGGGTCCTCTGGAAGAGCAGCCAGTGCTCTTAATGACCGAGGCTTCTCACCAGCCCCGTTATTCACTTTTCTTAATTATCTGTAAACTGTTATTCGTTTTGTCAAAACAGAGTGGCTTCGTTGTGAGAATTAAAACAATACATTTATTACTGAAAAGTAAAGAGAGTATTGATCATGAAATATTTTGGAATTCATGACTGCCTCAGGCTATGATTATTACTTTTGCTCCTAGTCCCATTTGGGTTGTGTTAGGTTAAATGGGTTTATAAGCCAAGACTTTATGTTCTGAAACTCCAGTTTCCTTAAAGGGTTATATTACTTCCTTTGGGGGGGGGGCTAACAAAATAAGAAAATGCAGCAGGAGGCATCCACTGTGGCTTTTCTGTTATTTCAGGATAGCAGCTGAGAGTGAAAGACGTCCTCTAAGTAGAGAAGTGAGCCAGGGGTTGGGAACCACTGCCAGATGGAGACTCACGGTGTGCTGGTCATGCTAGACCACCGTTTCTCCTCTTCCTCTTCCTCCTCGTCCTCTTCTTCTTTCAATCTTCCACTGTATTTAATAACAGGTATTTTCTTCCCTCCCCCTTTTTTTCATTTAAATTTGAAACAAGGCTGTTTTCCATGTCAATCCCAGTTCCCTCACCCTCCCATCCTCCCCTGTCTCCCCACCTAACCCAGTCCATCCCCTTTCTGCTCCCCGGGGAGGGTGAGGCCTTCCATTGGGAGTCTTCAAAGTCTGGCATATCATTTGGAGCAGGGCCTAGACCCTCCCGCGTGTGTCTAGGCTGAGAAAGTATCCCTCTACGTGGGATGGGCTCCCAAAGTCCATTCCTATACTAGAGATAAATACTGATCCGTTACTAGAGACCCCATAGACTCAGTCCTCCTAACTAACAGGGAGTCTGGGTCAGTCCTATGCTGGTTTCCCAGCTATCAGTCTGGGGTCCATGAGCTCCCCCTTGTTCAGGTCAGCTGTTTCTGTGGGTTTCTTCAGCCTGGTCTTGACCCCTCCCTGTCTGCAACTGGATTCCAGGAGTTCAGCTCAGTGTTTAGCTGTGGGTGTCTGCTTTTGTTTCCATCAGCTACTGGATGAAAGCTCTAGGATGGCACATAAGGTAGTCATCAATCTCATTATCGCGGAAGGGCATTTAAGGCAGCCTCTCCACTAATGCTTAGATTGTTAGCTGGGTTCATTCTTGTATGACCCTGGGCATTTCCCTAGTGTCAGATTCTCCCTAAATCTATAATGGCTCCCTCTTTTATGGTATCTCTTTTCTTGTTCTCCTCTAGTCTTTCCCTATCTCAGTCTTCCTGTTCCCTCATGCCAACCTCTCCCCTCCTCTTCTCCCTTTCTCTTTCTCCTAACTCCCTCTCCCCTTCCTCCACACTCCAAATTTGCTCAGGAGATCTTGTCTCTTTCCCCATCTCCAGGGGACCATGTATCAGACCACTGCATCTTGCATGTGCTTTTACTATTGCCTCAGTCTAATGGGCAAAATGTACACACACACCTGGTTAACAGGGGCTTTTATTACAGGTAGGCAGGAAGGGACTACAGAAGGCAAGCTGCCCTGGGAGGAGGCAATCTCATTTTCAAAGGTCTCACCTCCCCTGCAGATGGGGCTCTCCAGAAAGTGACCTGTGTTGGCTTTTATAATCTGGACAATTGGCTAAGCTAAAGCCATGAAGAGCATCCTTTCTAAGTGGGTATTAGAACAAAGACCTGGCTGCTGAGGGCAGGAGCTCAGTGTTACAGTGTTACACTCTAAATGTTACAATTTACACTCTAAATGTTACAATGTTAGTCTAAGCACATCTACAGGTGTTCCTGAGAACTCCAGGAAGAAGGGAGATGTTAGTCCAAAGTCACACAGAGAACTTGCCCTACTCAAGACACCTCCATCTCTAGTCTACCGAGAGGCAAAAGGCAGAAAAGTGGTCCTCCATGCCTGTATCCCTTAGGAGGCTGAGCATCCTTAATATAGAGGGATTGTCCACCTGCTTCTGCTGATCTAGGAGGAAAACAGTTACCAAAAGATGAAGGAGTTGCACATCTGATGGCGGTGCCAGGTGGAGATGCGGCCAGAAATCTCTCACTTGAGTTTGTAATCCAATGCAGTACCTAGACAGGGCTCTAAAGCTGCTGCAGCTCTGACACTTGACCAACAGGACATGAGATCGATGGCCGCAGTCTTGTCACAGAAGCATGGGAACAAAGAACTGAGTGCACCGGAGAAACATGATAGGGTGTTGGCTGAGAGGGCCAGGCTTGGTGCCTCTGAGACAGTTAGCAATGGGTCTAGCAGCATCCTTAGGTGTCCATCCGGGCTGCAGAACACTAACTGGCAGCCGGTGGAGAAGACTGCATCTTACTGTCTTTCCTTTCCCACCACGTTGTCCACTGTCACAAGGGCTGTGCCTGGCAGACTGAGAGGGACAGAAACGTGCAAGGTGTGGCTCAGCCCTGGCTGGCACGTCTCAGGCTGAGCTGCCACAGGCAGCAATGCTTGCAATGGACCCGTGATTCATGTTTTAAATGAAAGCAAACCAAGTCTTACAAACAGAAAGGAAAAAAGTCGCCGATGGTTAAAAAACAAAAACAAACAAAACCAGAACTAAGCCATGTGGGCATTTCCCAGTGGGAAAGGGCACTGCACAGAACAGAACAAAAACTAGCTGTATTAAAGATTCAAACATATATTTATATATCAGCATGAAACAGAATACACACATATGTTATGCTACACATGGTGGTAAGTAAGCATTGAGAAATGGGTCACACCAAGCTGGGAAAGGAATTCATAAGGAAGGAAGAGCGAAGTTCAGAGTGGTCTTAGCTGAGTGAGGATTGGCTAGAACTTGGGGCTGTAAAATAACAGGGCTAGAGATCGCTTTACATCAGATGGTAGAGGTGACTAAGTTGTCATGCCCATTTCCCACCCTCTGGAACCTAATTCAGAATTGAAGGTCAGAGTTACTTGAATGAATGAAGTGACTGGGGCATTAGGTGGTACACGGTCTTTTGCATATGAGTAGTGGGCAGCCATGAGGATTCGGCAATGGCTCTGACAGCGATGAAGACATCCTAGAGACACTTCTGTCCCCCACCCCCTGTCTTGATTGTTAGATTATTGAAACAAAATGGACCTCAAGAAAATTGGGATTTCCACAAGGGTCTCATGTTGAGAGAAGGAAAATGCTGGAACTCGGCCAGGAGAGGTGGTACACCACCGTGACCAAGACTTCATAGCTATTGTGACTCTTGTTTCTTAAACTTCATTTTAGGACCTGAAGATGGACTCTCCCTCCCTCCCTCCCTCCCTCTCTCTCTCTCTCTCTCTCTCTCTCTTTCCTCTCTCTCCTCTCCTCTTCTCTCTCTCTCTCTCTCTCTCTCTCTCTCTCTTTCCTCTCTTCTCCCCCCCCCTCTCTCTCTCTCTCTCTCTCTGTGTTTCATTGGTCTGTTGAGGACGAACGGCAAAGCTTGGCTTGTGAGGGACGCCATGGCCGTTCTCTTTCCAGGTCCTATGCTGAAGGGCCTCTTTCCCACTCTGGGAAGGTTGGAGGTTTGGACAAAGAACTGTGCCGAGACCTCTCCAAGCACACTCTAGCCATTGGGAACATCTATTCGGGGACCCTGGTTGATTTAAAAAAAAATCTGCACTTGCTGGATGGGGTGGATTCTCTCTAATTTCCAACTCACTTAGATCACTTTGTTTTGTTTTCGAGACGTGGTTTCTCTGTGTGTAGCCTGGCTGCCCTGGAACTCGCGCTGTAGACCAGGCTGGCCTCGAACTCAGAGATCTTCCTGCTTCTGCGTCCCGCGTGCCGGGATTGAAGGCTGGGCGGCGTCTACTTAGATGGAATCGTTTCGGTCCTGGCCGGGAGAGGAGCTGGATGACACCGCACGCCCAAATCCTAGGTCCAGCCCAACCCTCTCACTGCCGCGTGGCCCCCGCGGGGAGAAAGGCCCGGAGGCGCTGGCGCGTCGTCCTCCTCACCCCCAGGGGGCGCCGGCGCCCGGGAGCCCGCCTCATTCTCCAGCGCCCGTTCTCCCTAGGCGCTCTGTGTCGGTCGGCTCCAGCCTCGACGCCCAGCCGCGGCGGCCAATCAGAAGCGTCCAGGTACCGGCGGGGGCGGGGCTGCCGAGGGCGGAGGAAGATGGCGGCGGGGGCTCGGTGAGCTGTCGACCGTGGCGAGGGGCTCGGGCGCGGGGGGTGGGGGGACGCGGAGCGATGGCCCGCGCCGGCCGCCGGGGCGGATAAGACCCCGTGGCGCCGCGGGTGTGGGCCGGAGGGAGGGGACGGTGCCCGAGCGCCACGGGAGTATGACGGGGCTGTACGAGCTGGTGTGGCGGGTGCTGCACGCGCTGCTCTGCCTGCACCGCGCGCTCGCCGCCCGGCTCCGCGTTCGCTTCGGCACCTGGGACTGGATCTGGCGGCGCTGCTGCCGCGCCGCCTCCGCCGCGGTCCTAGCGTCGCTCGGCTTCACGCTCCGCAAGCCCCCGGCCGTCGGCAGGAACCGGCGCCGTCACCGGCATCCGCACGGGGGGCCCGGGCCGGCCGCCGCCCACCCCCGGCTGCGCTGGCGCGCGGACGGCCGGGCCCTGCAGAAGCTGCCGGTGCACATGGGCCTGGTGATCACCGAGGCGGAGCAGGAGCCCAGCTTCTCGGACATCGCGAGCCTCGTGGTGTGGTGTATGGCCGTGGGCATCTCCTACATTAGCGTCTACGACCACCAAGGTGAGGCCCGGGCGCGAGGAGGTGGGGTGGCAGGGACGCCGCCGAGCCCGAGGACCGCGCGTCGGCCGACTTGGCTGCCGGTCGCCTTGCGAGGCCGCCGCCCTCCGGGCCTCGCGACTTGGGGTGGCTCTCGGCCCTTGAGTATAAATCACAGTGCCGGCGCTTTCGAGGAAGGGACATCGGTACTATTCTTGAACGTTGACCGAGGCTTTGGATTTGGTTGTGTATTTTTTAGCATTAAAAAAAAAAAAAAGAGAGAGAATACATACCGTATTCCGTTAAGGGAGATGGTATCTATTTGGCTTTCTTTCACAAGCGAGGGAGCTGACGTCGAGAACGTAAACGGATTTGCCCAAGGTCACAAAAGTAATAATGGGGAAAGAATTGTAGCCAGTGTCTTCCAAGGGGTCCGGCGCGGTCATCCTAGGTGCGGCCGGGCGGTGGAGGATGGTGGAGGATGTATGCATGAGCCGTGTCGTGTCGTGGGTTTCCCCAGACCAGCTCTTGGAGTTAGATGACACTTGAAAATGAGTTTCTGAAAAGTATGTGAGAGTTTAGATAGGCCCGGAACAAGACGGTGCACCCCTGTCTCTGAAGCCTGGGATCGTGTGTGATTTTTTTAATCCTCAGTGGCCAATACAGTACTCCATGCGGCTGACTGAGTCTAAGTCATGATCAAGGCAATGAATTTCTTCACAGATTTGTTAAGAAATTTTGTTCAACACATATTTCATGGCAACAAGCCTAAAACACCATGCCACATATATTCCTCGGAGTCTTGCCTTCATCTTGGGTACTCTCAGGCTCGCAGGGAGAAAGGCACGCACTAGGTGATGGATGGATGATATTTGGGAGAGAAATTCCGAAGAGAGGAACTTTGAGAGTTGGTGTAGAGGAGATGAAATTTGAGTAGGGCATTGAAGAATAGAGGAGGGAGAGAAAGGGGAGGGAGAGGGAGAGGCGTGAATGTCGTCAGTCCTAAATGCAGTGGTATTTCCGTGAAAGATAAAGATGTGGAGATAAGAATGAGTTAGGAGTATTGGGATGCAGGAAAGAAAAATGATTGCCTGATTCTTGGTTTAGTAAATTGCCCGCATGCCCTAGAGAAGCAACTTGAGTTTTACTTTTCAATCTTCCTCAGTTTGCTATTTAAGTGCTGGGTTTGCCTAGGGTAAGCAGTAATCACTGGCTGCTTGTAGCCAGCAAGGAGTGTGGTTCCACTGAGCCTGTCGTCAGAAACGGTGATTTACTCTGTAGGCTACAGAGACTGGCAGTATAGAACTTCCAGTACAGTCAGCAGTGTTGGATATACCATGGCAATTAAAATAGAAATTAAAGGCATTAAGTAGTGGTGGATTGACTTATATCGGGTGGGAAGGAAAAGGCAGAGCTGAGTTGTTCGACACAACTGCGTCCTGCGTGCCGTCACTTCCTTGTTCCTGCAATTCCTGTTACTGCATTTCTGAAGTGACTCAAGTCCTTTGTCACATGTTCTTAGAGGGAAAATGATTGGCAATGAAAAGGCGTCAACTTAAAACAAGTTTTGGCTGAGACCCGAACAGAGCTTCAAGAATTCTGAGTACTAGCATAAAAACATTTTTAAGTGGTAATTTCGTAGTTTAAATAAGTGGTCTTCAGTTTACTTACCTTGGCTTCTGACTGATTCGTTCATGAAGGAGAAAATTTAAACAGTCTGGCATCTAATGTTAATGTGTTAGGAAATAGTTTCAGAAGCATAATGAGGAAAAATAAGACAGGGGAGAGATGCTAGCTGAAAGGCAGCATGAAGGAAGAGATTAAGTTTTAAATTGGGTGGACAGGGACAAAGTCTAACTTTTGAATAGGTAAAGATGTTTAAACTTTATTTCCTCCACTATGCTTCTACGTAAGCTTGTTTCTTCTATACAGATACTTAGAAAAATGTATGTGTATTGACACACACATACACACACATATAAATAAATGCTGCCTTTCTGTAGAGGTCTGTAAAATGAAGTATGTGTAAGAAATGATATAATGTTCAAGGAGAGATATTTATTAATTATTAATTAGTATTAATGCAGGCCGATACATAAATCAGAGATGACAGCTGAGTGTGAAAGACTTTAGGAGAGCAGGGCTTTCCCTTAGGAGTGCTCTTCCTCCATGTGGCTCTAGGAAGACGGGACGGTGACATTTGTATTGGAACTAGCAAAAGTAGATAGGATTTGGAGCTTGAACAGTATCCTGTCCCTGTATGTGGGCTAGAGATGCCACTGCTTTGGTAAGATTTTGATGAGGTTTCACTTAACAATAGCATTGAATCGAACCTTGGGAGCGGTAAATAGAACAGGTAAGTTTCTTTAACAGAATGCTGGAAAATAAGGTAAGATGAATGACTGGGCAGCTGTTTTGCTTATGTGTGGTTTTGTGGAAATCTATACCAAAGTTCAGTGTTTTAAAATAATTATGTGTTGGCTCAGTTCTGTTGTGTAATTTTCTTTGGGATCACTTACATAGATTGCAGTCAGATTACTGGCAGGGACATGAAGGTTGCTATTATGTGTCATCCATTGTGTGCCTGGTTTGTAATGGCTGGAATAGGAGAGAGGAGATGGTTATTTGTCTTCCTATGTTTCCCACATGGCTACTGTGGGCTTCCTTATGCAATAGAAGCTTCAAAATTAATCAGATTGCCTCCAGATCAGGCGTTCCCAGAGTCAGACCAAAGCTGCAAGCCTTTAGGACCTAGCTTAAGCAATCAGGCATACATCTGTCTTGAATGAAGGAAATAGATTTTACTTCTCAGTGGAAAAATGCCTTGTGCCTCAAGATAGAGCTGAAGGGATTTGATAGCAGCCACTTTGGAGGCAAATTTACTGATTTAGTTTCCCCCATCTTAACATATCTTAAATCTCAAATCTGTATTTAAATAATACTCATTCTGATTATGATGGCTTTTAATTATGATTGTTTTTAATCCTTAGACTAAAATACCTAATGGTATTTATGTACTTTGAAGTGTCTCTTCCCGTGAACTGAGGGTCTTGCTTACTTGCTTTTGTAGGGTCTTGGTAGGCTGGCCTTCAGTTTAAGGTTCTCTTGCCTCAATTTCTCTAGTACTGGGATTACAGGCTTGAAATGAGCTCTTCCTGTGTTGCCCAAATACCTGGACTCAGATGATTGTGTGTTAGCTTCTATAAAGCTGGAACTATAGGTTTACCTCATAGCTACAAAACAACAACAACAACAACCCCCCCCCAATATTTCAGAGATGCTTTATATATATTAAAACACTGAGCCTTTGGCCAGTTGAGCACTGTAGCCCTAAGCTGTTCAGTTAAGCCCTTGCCTTTTTTTTTTTTTTAATTATACTTGCAAACTTTGTTTGATCGTGGTAATTTCTGCTGTATTCATACATTGGAAATTGAGGTTTTCTTAGAAGATTGGTCAGGAATTTTTGAGCTCCGAGTTCTCATAAGGAGAATTGCTTATTTTGTTTACATGATTATGATTTAGGAAATGATTATGATATGTGTAAAAACTATTTCTTAATGCGGTTGGTGTTGTGTACACTTGAAGTGCGTTGTCTGGGTGGGGGATGGGTGCTGTCTTCATTGTGCAATTGTGTTGGTCCCATGCTTGTTGTAGGGTTCTTTAGAAAAGTTTGAGAAGGAGTCCTTGGAATGTTATAGGAAACACCGATTCATCACACTTACTGATCAGCTGATTTAAGATAGTCCAACCTGGGCATCTCTATTTTTATCAAACTACTTTATGGCACTTCTGCACACTGGAGTTGACCTTAACACAGAACAGAAACTACTCTGCCTTATGTAAGGTTAATCATAGGCTGGAGCTGGAGCTTGGTGGATGCAGACCTGAGACCCTGCATGCACACGCCACACGCTTCATCTTTCACATTGTTCACGTGTAATGATAATTTGGGGGAGTGCTGTCTCTTTATTTGTCCATCTGTCCTGTGCAGTAAATAGTTTTGGGGTCATGATTTCTCACACTAGCCCTAACAGGACTGCCCAGTGCCACCCCAGCCTTCTTCACTGATTTCTCCCTGCTCTCCGTACCTCTTATTACACACCATATTTAGGTGTCTTGCTGCCACCTCTTTTTAGAGTGTCTGGATTGCTCACTCACCCCTCCTCCCTCCTCCTCTTCTTTCCATACAGGGTTTCTCTGTGTACTCCACACTGTCCTGGAATTTACTCTGTAGATCAGGCTAGCCTTGGACTCACAGATCTGCTTGCCTCTTCCTCTCTAGTGCTGGAATTAAAGACATGGACCACCACCGCCCAGCTCACTGATCCTTGTGAGTGTACCCTTACCTCCTGTTAGTCCATCTTCCTCTGCCTTAGTCTGTTTCTGGACCTCCTGAGGACTTTGGGTACCTCTAAAGATATTTCTGTTTTCTTAATGTGTGTTTGCACTTGACGCTTATACATCAGAAGCTCCTGGATGCCATCTCTACTTCTCCCTTTCGCTTTTGTCAAGGTATGGCTTGGTGTTAAATGCCTGCCATGGTCAGGCAGTGCTGCTGGTTTTCTTAGCCCTTCACAGACACTATATTAGTTACAAAACTGTTGGCCAGTGGCTCGGGCTTCTGTCTTAATTATTAATCCATAACTACTAATCTATGTGTTTCCACGTGGTCTTGGCTTACCGGAGAATGCCTGGACCTGTTTTACTCCTTTGGTGACCTATGTGGCAAGTGTTTTTGGTGGGCTCCCTCTGCCCACCTTTCCCAGAATTCTCATCTGTTAGTCCTGCCTATCTTCCTGCCTAATTGGCCAACAGTGTTTTATTCATCAACCAATAAGAGAAACATATGTCCAGAAGGACATCCCCCGTCAAGGTAGTGCACATTCTTTGACTCGAGCGGGCTGCACTTCCCATACACAAGCATAACGAGCTGAGTTGGCAGCTCTTGTTTCCTGAGGGTGAAACCTAGAATCCTTAGGAAAGTAAACTTAAGTCTCTTCTAGTCTGGCCTATGACATAGATGA